GTTCCAAGGTATGTTCCAGGCCCCACTGGCCCAGGTGGACAGATTCTGGTGGAGTTCACGTGCAGGAAGCAAGGATGGGGCAGAAATATAATCACAGAGGGACTCACAGATGCCTCTGCCCCCCCCCCCCCCATCCTCCTATCTCTCCACCCAGCTGAGGAGGTGAGTCCCACCCTCAGGGCCCCTCCCAGCACTGCCCACACCTGCAGGGCTTCCTCTGCCCCTGTGATGTTCCCAGGAAGCAGGGCACCTGTGGGGGCCGCAGGCTTTTCCCTAATGGGGTTGATGGTCCCCTGGCCCCTTTCAGGACACAGAACTTTGGAGTCAGGCCAGGATTTGCAGCTGGCCTTTGTCACCCACTCCCCACGTGACCTTGAACAAGTCTCTTGTCCTCTGGGAGCTTCCCAATAACCCCATGAAGTAAGTACCACCCTTATCACCATCAGGTGATCTGGAAGATTCGGTAAAATGTGTATAGAAGGCATGTCACAGGTCTCAATGCACATGTGCTCAATAATGGTGATCATTTTTATTGGTTATAATTCTTCTCAGGACCTCACGGTCCCTGGAATTCTGTGTTCTCTGATCTCTTTGGCTCCTAACCCTTTAGGGGCACTCATTCTCTGCTCCTGTTGATTTCTTCTATTGCTGCTGGGGCTGGGACTTCCAATTAAGCCTCTAGACACTTAAAATCAGCATAGAGAGACCTTCCTATACCTGGGCAGAGTTCCCTTGGCCTGGGCTTCTGGGCAAGGGACGGTCAGGCTGCCCGGAAGGGGAAAGAGGCACCTTTTCTCTCATCAGCTCACAAGCAGCCCAGTTCAGTTCAGTCACTCAGTTGTGTCTGATTCTTTGTGATTCCATGGACTGCAGCACGCCAGGCCTTCCTGCCCATCACCAAGTATCGGAGTTTGCTCAAACTCATGTCCATCAAGTTGGTGATGCCATCCAAACATCCCCTCCTCTGTCATCCCCTTCTCCTCCTGCCTTTAATCTTTCCCAGCATCAGGGTCTCTTCCAATGAGCTAGTTCTTCGCTGGAGTTTAGTACTGGAGTTTCAGCTTCAGCATCAGTCCTTCCAATGAATATTTAGGACTGATTTCCTTTATGATTGACTGGTAGGATCTCCTTGCAGTCCAAAGGACTCTCGAGAGTCTTATCTAACACCACAGTTCAAAAGGGGGTTGGGGGTTAACCCCATTGGCTTGGGGGTTAACCCCATTGGCCTGGGGGTTACCTAGGGTGGGGGTCGTCCCTGCCCCACCTGTGCTCACCTTGGTGTGGCCGAATCTATACTGCTCCCGGTCCACATCAATGGAGTTCAGAAGCTTCTCAGAAGCATTTTTGCTGTCAATGAACTGCCCCTCTGGGATGGCACTGGCATTGAGGATCCGGTACCTGATGAGGGAAGGTGAGGGGTCAGCGTGGGGCCTGGGTGTGAATGGTCTGGAGAAGGGCCTCTGGTGACACAGCCCTGGGTGGAGCCGGGAGGGTGCTGGGCCCTGCTGCTTCCTGAGGGTCTGCTGTTTCCTGCTCCTCCCTGCTCAGGCCCCGGGGCCACGGAGCCCAGTGGGGTCCCAGCCTGGTGTCTCTGGGACAGGAGGTGGTGGTGTCCCCCGTACCCAGGGTGGAGTCTGGGAGGCAGAATCCAGGGAACCACTGCTGCTGGGGGGCCAAGGCCATGCCAGCAGCTGGCCCAGCACATGTGAGCCCAGGAGACGCCTCACCTGCACTGGAGGCCAGGTCAGGACTGGCACCTACCTACATCCCCCCACCAATTGGGCAGTTCTGGGGAGGGTGGAGGTTTCAGTTGAGGGGCAAAATTTCCCAATGGATTCAACTCCTACGAAAGGCTCTGTGCCTGAGACCAGGCCTTCTAGAACCTTCTCTCGCTCCAGCCATAGAAGGAAATGGAATATTATACAGTGACTAGTCTGGCAGAGGGGAATCTAGGGGTTGATTTTAGGCAAGTGGGCTGTGACAGGAGGGAGAGAAACATATGGAAGCAAGGCCAGCTGAGTGCATGGCTGGGTTGGTGCTTTCAGAGGAGATGACTCTTATCTGACTTTAAAGAACCTTGAAATCAGCTGTGACCTGCAAGCTAGTGGTCATTCTAGAGTGTCCTCTTCCCACCTGTCCCTCCTGGGCAAGGCCTGGATTTGTGGGCCCAGATGGCAGTCGGGAGGAGAGCATTGGTCTAGAGCAGGGAATCTCAACTGGGGGATATTGGGCAATGTCTGAGATTGAGGTGGTGTGGTTGCTACCAGCAACTGTGGGTTGAGGCCAGGGGTGCTGCTAAAATCATGTAACACACAGGACAGTCCTCACAATAAAGAATTATCTAGCCCTAAATATCCACAGTGCAGGGGTTGAGAAACCCTGGTCTGGAGTCACAGTCAGGCTCGACTGTCTGGGCTCTAATCTTGGGATTGCTTTAGGGTGGTCCAGCCCTTGCTCTGTGCAAAGGCTTGTCGCCCCAGCAGAAGAATCCTATGGAAACCTTGGGAGCTCACCCAACACCCAGCTGCAGGAGTGCCTTTGGGGGATGCAGAAGGTACCCTCCAAAGGAGAGAGATGGAAAGGCAGGCGACCTACCGCTGTTTGAAGTCCCCGTAGAGGATCCGGCTGGGGAAGCCCTTCCTGCAGATGCGGATGCCCTCCAGGACCCCGTTACAGCGCAGCTGGTGCAGGACCAGGTGGTGGTCCATCACGCCTGGAGAGGGAGGAGCCCAGGGCCTGTTGGCGGCCTTTCCACTGTTTTCTCTGATGTTCTGGGCACCATGAGACCCTTGGATACCCAGACTTGAATGGGAAGGTTTGGTGCCAGTAGAAATAATCTCAACATTCTGGGGAGACTCTAGCACCCCAAAACCATGGGACTAAAAGCCAAAATATTAATCTTTGCCCTGTTCGTCGCTCTTGACTCTGATGAGGACAGAATAGTTGTCTTGATCTAGAAATGTCTCTCATCATTATTATTCTCATAATAACAACAGTTTTTATTATTACTATAATTGACAGCCAACATTTGCAGAGTGTTCATAATGTTTTTGGCCCTATATTGTTTTGTTTTTATTATTTTCCTTGGTGGCCTAGTAAATAATCAGGTGCAAGGGTTTCATGAGAATATGCAAAGAAGAAGCCTCTTCTGTCATTACTGTGTTTGATATTTTGAAGAGGTTGACCATACAATTTATTATATTGCATGCACTCTTACATATTTTTGTCTGCCTCATCAATCATGAACTGACAGAGTTTATTTAAATTCATCTGCAACTACTGTTGTAGTGCTATCTACTAGCATTTTTTAAAAATTGAGGTATCATTCACATATGACATTTTATTAGTTTCAGGTGTACAACCATATTTGTATATATTATGAAATGATTGCTGCAAGAAGTCCAGTTAACCCCCATCACCATACACAGTTACAATTTTTTCTCTTATGATTGGTCCTGTTTTAAATGCTATGCATGTACTAGCTTATTTAATTCTCACAACAACCCTCTAAGGAGGGTGAAGGGGGTTAATATTTACAAAATGAGTCAACGTTTGTAAGTGCTCACTAATAGGGTTTCCCTGGTGGCTCATAGGGTAAAGAATTTGCGTGCAATGTAGGAGACCTGGATTTGATCCCTGGGTCGGGAAGATCCCCTGGAGAAGGGAATGGCTACCCACTCCAGTATTCTTGCCTGGAGAATCCCATGGACAGAGGAGCCTGGCAGGCAATAGTCCATGGGACTGTAAAGAGTTGGACACAACTGAGTGACTATCACTTTCACTCAGTAAATAAATGAGTAAATAACTAAGTGAATGAATCAATAAAATGCCATCTGATCCTCCTTTTATAGACTAGAAAGCTAAAGGACTCGGCTGTGGTCCCTTGAGCAGTCACAGGTGGAGCTGGGCTGTTTTCCTGCATCATCTGCTCTCCTGTAATGCTGCTGAAGCAGGGCTTGATGCCAGAAGCCCAGTCTTTGGGATGGAACAGCTTGGCTGATCAGTGAGCTGCCTCATAGCCACAGTGTATGTGATGGTCTGTTCTTTTCTTTATGAGCCCTGAATCTCAGCCCTACTCCAAGAATATTTGTGAATCCAAGACTGGGGATGGTTCAAGGTCTACTTCATTGCACGGTGTGCTATGTCTATATATTTGGTTTCTGCTTCTCGATTTCCTCACTTATGAAATGGAGATAAGCACCCTCATCTTGCAGTGAACTGTTATAAGCAGCAACATAATAATGTTACAATACATAACATAATAATGTGACTGTAGTGGGCTCAGAAAACAGTTGTTATTGATTCTGTTTATATTATGGAAGACCTAAGTTGATTATTTGCCAAATATAGTGGCTCCTAATTTTTGAGGGGAGGGGGGAGTTTTTTTTCCATAACCTTATGAAAGTTATGAATCTAGTGTACCTATATATGTGTTGTCGTTGTTCAGTCACCCAGTCATGTCCGACTCTTTGTGACCCCACGGACTGCAGCACGCCAGGCTTCTCTGTCCTTCACTATCTCCCAGAGTTTGCTCAAATTTATGTCCACTGAGTTGATGATGCACTGGCCAAAGAGTTCGTATATAACATCTTATGGAATACTTGAACAAACTTTTTGGCCAACCCAATACATAGTATTTTGGAAATAATTTCATAGTAGGGATATAGAAATAAAAGATGAAATAAAAGATGCCCAGCTGAACTTGAATTTCAGAGAAATAGTAAAATAATTATTTCAGTGTAAGTATATCCAAATAGTGCATGGGTCATAGCTATACTACGAAAATTTTCACTGTCTTATCTGAAATTTGAATTTAATGGGGAGGGGTCTCATATTTTTAATCTGCTAAATCTGGGAGCCCTATTTCATAGGCTGAAAAGAGATAAAGGCTACCATGACCCCGTCTTCAGGGAGGCACACACACACGTGCACACAGACTCGCCGACACATGCACACACTCGTGTGTGCACATCTCCCATGGAGTTTTGCTCATGTTTCAGGGAGTCCTGTTCTGGTGGATTCTTACTCACCAGGTGTCTTAGTCTCATTGGGAATCAGACATCGCACAAAGTGAGGGTGAGTGCTTCTTAAATTGGTCATCAATTTGTTCAAATTTTCCTGGGGCACAAACCAGAAGAAGCACATTTACCTTTCCAAACGCTGTTTCACTGGGCAGAAAAACAACTGAATGTGGAAGGTGTGAAAAAACAAACCCTGAACACAGCAGACACGGTCTGGAAAGAGGAGCCCTTCTTCTTCCCACCCTTCTTGCTTGCCCCGGAGTCACCTGGAGACAGACAGACACAGGGGATATGTCTGGTGAGTCCTGAGGACACAGTGGTGGCCTTCCTACCCACCCCCCACCCATTTTATTGAGCTGTAACTGACATATAACATTGTATAAATTTAAGGTGTACAAAGGGATGATTTGATATTTGTATATACTGCAAAATGATCACTGCTACTTAACGTCTATCACCTCCATAATTAATTTTTTTCTTAGTGCTTTTAAAATCTACTCTCTTAGCAGCTTTCAAATATACAATACAGCATTATTAACTACCGTTGCGACACTGTACATCACAACCATAGAACTTATTTATGTTATAATCATAAATATGCACCTTTTAACCCCCTTCACCCAATTCTTCCCCAGCTCTCACCTCCCACCCCTGGCAACCACAAATCTAATCTCTGTTTCTATGATTTTGGTTTTTTAAGATTCCACAAATCAGTGATATCATACAGTATTTGTCTTTCTCTATCTGACTTATTTCTCTTAGCTTAAGGCCCTGAGTAATATTCCATTATATGTGTGTGTATACACACATACAGGATATTACCACATCTTCTTTATCTGTTTTTCTGGTGATAGACACAGGCTGCTTCCATACCTTGGCAACTGTAATAATGCTGCTATAAATATTTGGGTGCATATATCTTTTCAAATTAGTGGGTTTTTGGGGGGGGATGTATACCCAGGAGTAGAATTGTGGGTCATATGATTAGAACTCAACCTCTTAAGGAAGAGGAAGAATAGAAGTAGGAGAAAGAAAAACAGAAACAGACAAATCAAAGTAATCCTGAAGCTCATGTCCAATTATTGGTTCTTCATGAGCTGTGATTACATAGTTTCCACAAGGGGGGATTTTAAAAAAGGATGTCACCTGCTTCTGCACCAGCATAGTTGGAAAAAAGAAAGGAGAGCAGCTTCAGTGAAGACTTCTGGTACAGCCCGACCACCGTCTCATTCAGGGGGTCCTTGTTCTTGTCCAGCCAGCCGGCAATGTTGTAGTCCACGGTGCCCGCATAGTGCACCAGGGAGAAGTGGGCCTCAGCCTTGCCCTTGGCAGGTTTGGGCTTCTGGAAGTTGTTGGACTTGCCCAGGTGCTGGTCATACAGCTTGTTCTTGAAGGAGGTGTCCGTGGCCTTGGGGAACATGCACTCCTCTTCCAGGATGGAGAAGATGCCCATAGGCTGCAGGGAGGATAATAGACTGTCCTCAGTGTTCACTAGTACATCCCCAGCAACTCCGTCTTCTGAAGGACCCAAGGGTAGCTTCTTTGGTGCTGTCAGTGTAACTAGGAACACTGGGATGTCAGTGCTGCGAGAGCAAGGCTGCTGGTCCGTTCAGTGCCATGGTAGAATAGTGCTTAACATTAAGCACAGCAGCACAGTAGGTGCTTATTTAATGTTTGCTGAACAAAAAAGCATGGGATGAGATTGCACATATGTAAGTGCAGCTCTTTGTGAGATAGTAGAAAATATATATACTGGTCTCTGTCCCTGGTTCCTGGCAAAGAGCTTCTAAAGCTTTTGTAATGTCCTAATGATAAGGGTACTAGAGCATCTATTGTTCTCTTGAGGTGACTCTGGGCTGGGGGCCCCTGGCTGAGGGCTGGTCACCAGAAAGACCAAGCCATGATGAGAAGCTTGGGATTTTCATCCCCTCCCCCATCCACCAGAGAGGGGAGAGGGGCTGGAAATGCAGCTAATGATTGATTGTGCCTACATGAGGAAGCCTCCATAAAATCCTAGTTGTAGGTGATTTTGAGAACTTCCAGGTTGGCAAACATGTCCACACTGGGAGGGTGACACAATCCAAGCTTTGGGGACAGAAGTGCTTGCATTTGGGACTCTCCCAGATCTTGTTCCATATGTCTCTTCATCTGGCTGTTCATCTGTACACTTAAAAATTTTTTTTTATTATTTATTTACTTTTTATTTTATTTTGTTTTTTGGCCACAATGTGTGGCATGTGGGATCTTAGTTCCCTAACCAGAGATCAAACCCGGGTACCCAGGATTGGAAGCACAGAGTCTTAACCCCTGGACCACGAGGGAAGTCCCTCATCTGTTTTCTTTATCAAATCCTTTAATAAACTGGTAAATGTAACTGTTTTCCTGAGCTCTGTGAACCCCTCTAGTAAATTAATTAAACCTGAGGACAGGGTTGTGAGAAACTTTGATTTATAGCCAACTAGGTCAGAAGTTGTAGGACACCTGGGGACCTACTGCTTGAACTTGGCATCTCTGGGTAGAGAGTGCCAGAATTGAGTTAAATTGTAGGATGACCAGTTAATGTTGCAGAGGATTGCTTGCTGTCATGAGGAAAAACCTCCATATGTTTGTTGACCAGAAATATAAGAAATGAAGTGCTCTGTGTGAGTAGTAAAGCAAATTCATAGAAGAGAAACACAGTAGGGAAAAACTAAGTTTTTTCCTACATAGGAAGGAAAAAAAAAAAAAAGCTATGTTTCCCCTAAATTACCCCCTTTTAGGAACAAATTTACAAAAAATGTAAAGTTGCATGAGTGAGTGAGTGAGTGAGTGATAGTTGCTGAGTCATGTCCCACTCTTTGCGACCTCATGGATGGTAGCCTGCCAGGCTCCTTTGTCCATGGAATTCTCCAGGCAAGAATACTGGAGTGGGTTGCCATTTCCTTCCATGCATAGACATAAATATCATATGAGTAATATTTCAAGCAATAAAATCTGGGTTTTTCAGTAGCCAACTTAGGAAGACAGGCTTCCAACACAACCAGTGCTCAAAATGTGATGGGAATTCTTTTTTAAAAAGTTAATATCATCCTCTCTTTTCATAGTAACATTCCTCCAAGAAGCCCACTGCTCCACGGTCCCTCCTCCTTGGGACTTTGGACAAGTCAGGTATGTGTGAAATGCCCAGTCACCCCTGGGCTTCATTCACATTCTTGGGGATCACTGAGCCCTTGGATCTTAATCACTCACATACCTCTTTAATTGTCTGAACAGATTCTGGGAGCTTTCCAAACATTTACCCTTTCTGCACTGGGAATTCAGCTCTCTGAAGGTTCAGAGCCTGGGGACATAGGTTTAGGGAGCCAGCATGTTAGCAGAGAAGTGTTAGAGCAAAGAGGCGGTGGCCCAGCCACTGAGGAGCTGCCCTGGGGAACAGTGTTTCTTACCTTCTCGATGAGCTCGATGCAGGCGGCCAGGTCCATCCCGAAGTCGATGAACTCCCACTCGATGCCTTCCTTCTTGTACTCCTCCTGCTCCAGCACAAACATGTGGTGGTTGAAGAACTGTTGCAGTTTCTCGTTGGTGAAGTTGATGCACAGCTGCTCCAGGCTGTTGAACTGGGTATTTTAGATACCAAATAATTTAAGTGAGTCTGGAAAATCCAGGGGTGATTCAACAAAGCAGACACAAAGCAGAAGGGCCATTTGAGGTCTGTCATTGATCCAAACAACTCACGTCAAAGATCTCAAAGCCAGCGATGTCCAAGACCCCGATGAAGTACTGCCTGGGCTGCTTGGTGTCCAGCTGCTGGTTGATGCGGGTGACCATCCACAGGAACATCTTCTCATAGACGGCTTTGGCAAGAGCACCCACCGAATTGGTCACCTTGAAAAAGGATCATCCACTCAACCCTCAGATTAGTATATTTATGAAACCTACAAAGTGGAGGTCTTGAAAGTCAAAGGCAGCAGGATACTGGCAATTTCATGCATTTTAACCTGACATTACATCTGTCTCAAGGCATCTTCTCAGTTCACGAGGTCAATTCCATTTACAAAGCTCGTTTTCTGCCAAGGATGGATATAACACATGACTCTAGCCCTGGCCACACCTAATTGAACCAGACGTGGATATTTGTTCCAAGTTGGGTTAAACAGAGTGTCTCTCCTGAGAATTTGGTATTGGGATCAAAAAGATGTTGGTCTCAGGATGAGGATGGAATCACGAAGATGTAAACTTGGGAGCTCTGGGGTGGTCACGGGTAGGGGAGGTAAGGAAAGCTTATCTGCCTAGTGAGAACACAGAGCAGGAGAGAGAAGACAGTCTAGAGTCCCTGAGAAGGAGGCTGTCTGGCTCCAGAGGGCTCTTCACTCCCTGATTCCAGGCCCTCATAGCACCAAGGCGCTCAGTGAGTTACCCTGAGCCCGAAGAATGAATTCCTTTTCCATGCTGTAGCCAGTTGCATATGTTTTTCTGATCCCTGCAACTGAAAGAACTTCAGGATGAGACTGAAAATAGAAAAACACTCGAGTTGATTAGATTCAGAGTATTTCCATTTACCTGCTGGACGTTTTGCCCCTTCGTGACATATTCGTTCCCAACCTTCACCCTTGGACAGCACAGGCCTTTCAGCATTTCTGCAGAATTCAGACCCATCAGGTACCCAGCCTTATCAGCCACTGAAGGAAAAGAAGAATTGGTGTCACACAGACAGCAGCTGCTAAAACATCCAGTCGGGCCTTGGGTCCTCCCAGAAGTATTGTCTATGATCCTTTTGGATGTTTTTATGTTTTCCTACAAGCCCCAGGCCTGCACTCATCTCATGGAGTTTCGACCCCATAATCCAGGGTCCTGGGTTTTCAAGAACTTTCATTTTGCTTTCTATAATAGATAGTCTTTAGTAATAGGTCAATTTTAACAAACTTGAAATTTAAATGTCATTAAAAAAACACATAGCTCTAGTAATTTCTTTAGAAAGATGGTAACGATAACCCTATATGCAAAACAGAAAAAGAGACTCAGATGTATAGAACAGACTTGTGGACTCTGGGAGAAGGCGAGGGTGGGATGTTTCAAGAGAACAGCATTGAAACATGTATATTATCTAGGGTGAAACAGATCACCAGCCCAGGTTGGGTGCATGAGACAAGTGCTCGGGCCTGGTGCACTGGGAAGACCCAGAGGGATCGGGTGGAGAGGGAGGTGGGAGGGGGGACCGGGATGGGGAATACATGTAAATCCATGGCTAATTCATTTCAATGTATGACAAAAACTACTGTAATGATGTAAAGTAATTAGCCTCCAACTAATAAAAATAAATGGAAAAAAAAAAAAACCACATAGCTACTTAATACTGTTGGAATCTGATAATACAACAACATGGTGTATAAGTAAAGGAAGCACCATTTGGATAATTAATTTAAGTTGAACACGTTCCTAATTTCTACAAGTGTTAATCATCAGTTGTGTCTGACTCTTTACAGCCCCATAGACTGTAGCCCATCAGGCTCCTCTGTCCATGGAATTCTCCAGGCAAGAATACTGGAGTGGGTTGCCATTCTCTTCTCTAGGTGATCTTCCCAACCCAGCGATCGAACCCGGGCCTCCTGCTTTGCAGGCAGATTCTTCACTGTCTGAGCTGCCAGGGAAGCTCAAGGTGCCGTGCAGATACTTGAGAGAGAAGCACAAAGCCTTGCCTGCCAGTACTGGGAGATGGTCAAGTTCAGTTGAACACTGGCAATTTCACAAAGTTCACTAGTTCGGTGGACTTTGAAATGGGCCTGGCCGCTTGCCTTGAGCTCATTGAGAAGTAGAGGCATGCTGCTTCCCAAGCTCCTCCTTGCTTGGAGCTGGTTGGGGAGTCACATTAATAAAAACTCAGGGCAGTGTTTGTTAAGGACTTACTAAGTGACCAGCTGAGTGTTTTACTCTTCACTCAAATTATCCCTTCTCCTTTTGCTCATTTACCTGGATCCTACCATTATTTTTCTGGTTAAAGCTTGGGATGATACATTATTTTTTTCACCCCTGACATGCTATGTTGAGACAGGCACCAAGTCTGCTTGTTTTACCTTCAAAATGGTTCACCTGTCTCGTCTCCAAGAGATGTGGAATAGTTTGGTGGCAAAGAGCCTGGGTTCAAATTCGGGCTTTGTGCCTTTGTGTGCCCATGCTCAGTTGTGTCCGACTCTGAGCCCCATGAACTGTAGCCCTCCAGGCTCCTCTGTCCATCGAATTTTCCAGGCAAGAATATTGGAGTGGGTTGCCATTTCCTTCTCCAGGGGATCTTCCCGGCCCAGGGATCGAACCTGCTTCTCTTTTGCCTCATTAGCAGATGGATTCTTTTACCACCGCACCACCTGGGAATCCCTCTTTATGCCTCGGTCTTTTCATTTGTCAAGCGGGGGACAGTGACAGTAACCATATGGACAACCCAAATTCAGTCTGTACAGTTTTCCAAGAGCAGCTCTTGAGACGAATGCCACGTTTATCTCCCATGACCCAGTCCACATGTGAACCAGGTGGAGAGTTGAACCTCACCCCCTTCCCATGTGGGGTACCTTCCGTGCCATCCGGCTCTGCCTGCTCCTCCCGCTGCTTCTGCTTGAACTTCATGTTCCCGTAGTGCATCACGGCGCCTGTCAGCTTGTAGATCCCGACCTTCTCCTCTGAGCTGAAGCCCAGGATGTCAATGGCATTCTGGGAATTAGAGAGAAGGACAGCTGCCACAGAAGACCTCAGGGATCCCAGTGCAGCTCTTTCCTGGCATTTGTAGAGCACAAGAGATGGCATTACCCCAATAAGTGGATGACAGGTGGCGTATGGTAAGTTACGGGTTAAAACCCATTTCTTTCATTGAACGTGTTTGTGTGTGGGGGTGGAGATTATGGGAAGAAAATGTGAATTATCTGTTTGCTTCCATCCAGTGAGCACTGATTTGAGTCCTGTTCCAGTGTGCATAGATTTGGGGCTGTTTTCTGGACGAGGCCATTGGGAATGATTGTGTGATTCGGGGAGGAGGCAGGTTCATGGACGCTATCCAGGAGCGTGTGAGCTTGGCGTTGCCATCTAGGAATTACAGTGTTGTTCAGAATAGCAATGACATGGCATCATAGAATATTAGAACTGGAAGGGAGGATACAATTTTTCAAATGCGAAAGAAGCTAGGGAGGGCACTAGGCACTGATAAATGGAATATTTCCTGTGGTATCAGTAAGCAAAAGATATCACAGCCATCAGAGATTGCAGCCCTCTTTCATGAGCCAGTGAGCCCTAAGGAAACTCAGAATGTGAAAATACTGGATACTGGCTCCAGAGAGCTGAGGTGCATATGAAAGGAATGACTTCAGTGAGTCCAGACTCTTGCATCTTCCCATACATAGAAAAGCCCTACATCCCTTAACTTTGGATATCTGCTTTTCTTTAATTAACAATCATCTTTTCATGTTCAGACTACCTGACCTTTGTTGCAAAGCTTCTCTATAACCTGACACCCCCCCCTCAAACTCCCCCATCACCCCCC